ACATTTGAAATTTAAGTAATATTATCATAAGAACACATATGATTAACGAATATGTTATTGTATTTTTTAAATCATAATCAATCTTCCTAAAATTTCACATATTAAAAATTGATAAACATTTATATTATATAGTAATAGGACGGGTAAAGTTTTTTTTTATAATTGTGGTCTTACGTGGGTTAAGTTATCAAAACATGCAAGATATTAAGCTAAAAATTATTTAAAAATTAGTCAATATTTATATTATCTAGTAATATGAACGGGCGAGTTAGAATTATGTTTTTATAATCATAATCCTTTTCGAATTAATAGAATGAACGAGTTAGAATTTATGTTTTTATAATAACTGTTATTTTTTAATTAATAGAATGACCGGATTAGAATTATGTTTTTATGATCGTTGTTATAATAATATTAAAAGAAAACAAATAAAAAAACAAATTATATTTAAACAAAAACTTTTTTGTGTATCTATAAAGAAAACATAAATTACATTACAAAATTTGATTAATAATAAAAAAAAAATTTGTGCGTGGATGCACGGGGTAAAATCTAGTATTGTTATTAATAAAAGAGTGTGTTACTACTAGGTGGACTTTTAAATTATCTAATGTCAAAAAAAAAGACTTTTGTATTTTAATTACCACAAAACACACTTTTCTACTATTTGGCTAATACAAATAACAATAATATCTCTTTTGCCTTTTTTTTTCTTTTTACTGGCCTCTTAGTAGTAAATTACATATTTATTGTTTCTAAGTTTCTTGAATATTTCCGGACGACCATATTCCTAGTAAAAAAACCATCGGCAATTTATCAACTAAAAAACAAATCCTTCGTCAATGACGAGAATGTTGTTTTAGTTCCCTAGAATCCTGGGTTTCCAAAAAATTCTTGAATCTCTCTTTTTTCTGGGTTTCCGGTGTTGTCATCTGGATTCTTCAATCTCTCTTTTTCTTCTTTTGAATCTGTAGATATTTGGATTAGTTGAGTTTAAATCTCTAAAATCTGCAGTGTAATTGATGAATCTGCAGAGAAATTGAGTTATATAGTAAATTTAGGGGCAACAATTTCAGCAAATTTTTCTTTGGTGTAGTGGCTTGTACTGTAATTTCTCTTCGACTCAAGTTCGAGTTCCATGTCTGTATATTTATTTTTTTTATTACGTTTTTTTTTTGACTTGCTTTTTTTTTAATTAATGGGCATTATTTTGAGGTTGGCTTTAGGTGCCAAAAGGAGTTTGGGCCGGCCCTGTGTATGTTTGTATGAATCTGGAGAGAAATTCTTCTAACTCGATGTTGTTCCATTAGATTTCCTTAATTATTGCCCTGATCTCCTCTTTCACTCTCGCAGATTGCAAGATTTCACGCCCATTGGTGAATAAGATTCCGAAGGATGTCCATGTAAGTATAAATAAATGGACGTAAAGAAGTTTGAATGGACGAACTTATTGAGATGAATAGGCGTGACTAATCTGCTAGAGTTTGGGGAAACAAGAGAAGCTTTCTGCGGTAACGGTCAATCACGTGGCGGTTATGGTTGACGTCGTGGTGGTGGCGGCGGCGACTATGGATATGGTGGTCGAGGCCAAGGAAGAGGTGTATCAAATCGTACTTCCTAGAGATTGTGCTAAAAGGGGATTCTAAAGATTCAAAGCCTATGGTGCTCAACTTCACAAGGAAAATGGATAACGGATTTGGTAGTAATGGCCAAATTGTTTAGAAGATTTCATATTAATTATCATATCCATGTGAGCCAAACTAAATGGTTAAGAAAGTAATGATATTTGGTGATCGCCAATTAAAGAAGGTAAGGATCCTTTGGACATGAGCTTGAACCTAGCTTCATATCATTGGAAGATGATATCTGTAAATAGTTTTTTGGAAATTAAAGGTACGAATTAGACAAACCGAAACTCAAGAAATGGCGCTGACAAAAGCTCTTCACAGCCGACCGGTGCAGAACGTTAGCCTCTCATGTCTCATCTCAACTATGATAAAAAAAAAAAGATGCTGATAATTTTTTGGCGTGAGCGAGACCAATTACAATAAAGCATATATATTAACCAGCATTGTTTCAAAAGTTAAGCTTTGATGAATTTACAAATTACAAAAAGTAAAATCTACACATCCACAAAAACTGCTCAACGGGTCAGTCCATATAAACATCTTGCAGCACAGTCTCTTTACTGCTCTTTACTTAGTTTGGATTTGCAGCTTCGTAGATGAAGATTGTTATGAACAAACGCCAACTTTTCACTTAGTTTGGCTTTGCAGCTTTGAAGATGAAGATTGTATTGAACAAACAACTCTTCCAGATGCTTGCGTTCAAAATGGCTCATTCCTCCAGTGAGCAGCATCTTCTCTGCAAAGCTTCTCTCCAATTTGTACCTTGAAGCATCTTCACATGTCTGGCTCAGAATCTCAATGGCAAAACTCTGCATCTTCCAAATCCAGATTTCAAGTGGTCAGAGTATACAGATAGAGTAACCATAAAGCCAATCCACAAATCTCATGACATCTTCCATATACGGAATTCAAGTGGTCAGAACTTTGTGGATAAGATCATTGATAACATCTTTTATGACGCTGCGAGACTGAGTATCTGACCACTTGTTTTTGGGATATGGGAGATGGTATGAGATTTTGTAAGGAGGAAAGCAAGATGGTTGATAAAAGTGTGATGTCAAAAGAAGTCTCATCATTCTGCTCCCCCAAAGCTCAGTAGTGCACAAAGTTTCCGTAACAAGTTGGTATGATTCTATTCATTGTTTTTTTTTTGTGGATTCACCATGTGGTTATAGTGTCTCAACATATTATTCCTTTGTGATTTCGCACGTGACGAAGAAAAGAGAGATAAAACAAGAATGAGAAGCAAAGAAAGATGATGTAATATTAGCCATAGCCAGGCTGGGGTTTAATGTATATTAAGCTCAAATTTTGAATCAGTATTTGGAATCAGAAGTTTGATAATCTAAAGCGAAAAAGCTTTACTTTATGAAGTGTAAGTATATTTTTGATAAATCATGTTCCTTATTTTTCTTGGCTCGATATATAGCTATACAGCGAGCACAAGTATATATATGTAAATGGTTTTCAAATAACTGACCGAAAAAGAAGAGTATAAAAATCCCGAGCCATCGTCCTCCTTTTCCCGCGTACGGCACTGTGAGTAGACCCATTTTACACATAAGATATTGATCCGTGGACCAAAATAGATTCACCTTAAAACGAGAGAGAGAAATAAGTGTGCAGAAGATTCTCGAGCGGAGATGCTGTTCTTCGGTGATTGATAAAATGAGCTGAGAAGAAATTCCAGATTTGAGAGATACATCGCCTTTCTCGGTGAGCAGCTGTTGTTTGCTTGTGGAAGAAGCAACGACTCGAGAATAGAGTTTTGGCGTCTCTTGTACAAGGAAGAGATCGAGCTGGTAAATGATGTCTAAGAACTTGTGAAAGAAGAGGTGAAGATCCGGTTGAGATGTCCACAGATTGTCTGAATATACCATGAAAAGGGAGAATCTTAATTATGCAAACCCTTCAAATATCTTTAGATATATATAAAAAAAAACAGTGGGTTGGATTTTACCGATTACTTCGAGGCCATGTAGCGGAACGAAATGGAGAAGATGGAGTGGAGATATTGTCGTCATCTCCGTAGGGGAGATCGACTTGGCATTCCTCATATGTCGGGAACAAAATGTCACTTTCTTCCTCTTCAAGCTTCATCGTCTTTGTCTGTGTTTCAAAACAGAATCAAAACAGAGCAAGAACAGATGGTAGGGCAGAAAATACGAAAATGGAAAAAAGAGAGAACATATGAGCAAGGTCATAACTGGAAGAAAGATAAAGAGATTCTGTTGTGATTTTGATATGTCCTCACGTTGACTTTATTTGATTCATATGTATAATAGTATATTTTAGTCGTAGTTAGTTGATTGAATTGGAGTGGAACTGTGGAAGTAACGTTCACTTGTAAAAGCGTCGGACACAAAGTTATAGAAGAAGTATTGAACAAACTTTAGATTCTGGATCTAAATTGAGAGAGTATTGCTATCTTCACCAATCTCTTTTTTAAGGTTAGTTAGTGTTCCTACTTTTTCACTAATCTCTTCATTATTATCTCAAAACGTTATTGTAAAATTTGATATTTCGATTATGTTAATGATCTTAGCTTTCAAGAAGCAAATATGTTAGTAAATTTGCACAATTGTCAAATCTCAAACCTTTCTACTTCTTTTAGCAATGATCATGGGCTTTGAACAATTTTTTTTTTTGACAAATGACTTGAATAGGTTTGGAGGCTTTGGAACAGTGAAACATTACTAGTTTATTGGTCTGGTCTCAGTTTCAGAGAGGTGTACAAGAAAGTTGAGTGTCTGAATGTGTTTTCTTTACGTATCAAACTTTACTTGCCGAACACAATGGTTCCAGTTTTAATTACACACTAGCTCACTTGTTCTAATCGATGTCAATAAGTGTCAAATATTTTGAATATTTGCATCACTTGTTCTAATCGATGTCATTATTTTAAGTAAATGTGTAATGCTCAAGAATCATATAGTCAATGTTTTTGTCTTCAGCGAGGAGCTACACTAGTAATGGAAGCATTGTAAATAGGTTAGTTGATTTTGATAATATGTGTATACGATTCCAATTAAAATATTGTGTCCATGTAAACATAACTAAATGGACATATAAAAATTTCATGAACATGCATTTTGTGTGAACTATACAATATTTATACATGTCATGTAAAAAGAGGAGAACAGAAAAGAAAGTGAGAGAAAATCAAATTCTGTCGATAATATATCGTATTTTATCATTGGTTTTAGATAGAGATAATATATATGGACAACTGTTAATGTTAGAATTAAACACTGGAACCAGAAGACAAATAACAAGGGATAAGATATCCACATGTTCGCCCTTTCATGGACACTGTTAATGGGAACCGTTTAAAATGAGAAACTTAAAAACTGCAAAAGTGTCGAAAATGTAAAAGGATATCCATATGTTCATGTTTTTATGGACACTAAATCATTTGGAACTGATTCATAACCACATAGTACAATTCCAATGGACACTAAATAATTTAAAACTGTTGAAATGATACACTGAAAAACTGCAAAAAGTGTAGACAAGAGGATGGGATATCCACATGTTCATATTTGCTTGGACAATAAATCATTTGGAACTGTATCATAACCATAGTTACCAGGTTTGAAGAACACAGAGTTGCCAAAATCAATGGCCTTTAAGGCAGAATTCACCTTTTTGTTAGCGAACAAGAACTTATCGGGTTCAAAAACTTGGTGCATAACTCCATTGGCGTCACACCTTGCGAGTTGAAGTTAGTAGCAGTGAGCTGAACTACAGGCAACGAGAATCCCTGAAGAGCATTGTCGAGATTAAATAATCCAAAAAACAGAGACAGAAGCATGAGCAACGTTAATGGTGATTTGTACAGAGCAGTGTAAGTTAACTTGCGGATTAGATATAGGAAGCCGTCAACTAGTAACCTTCCTCGCTTTGAGCCAATCTCTTGAGCCTTGTGTGTCTAAACAATAAGCCTGAATCTAATCCGCCCTTCCTCGCTTTGAGCCAAGGGAAAGATAATAGCCGTAAATTGCGAAGGCTTACCATAGTATGATCAAGATCCGAGACTATCATTAGACGAGGAGGAGATGTTAGCCGCTCCATGGTTAGTAACTATCGTCGTCCTGAAGTTTGCATATTCATAATTAAGAGTGTCAATCATATAAGATTTTGAAAATTCAATCCAAGAAAAGTGGATCACCACTAACTCATAAAGATTCTACAATCGAGAGATTTGATTTCTATAGCTTATCAAATCCTGTGAAATTGTAAATGACCGGGAATTCCCAGGTTTTTCTCTCTAATTAAGCTATTATACATAATGATTCAACAAAAGAGACTCAAAACGAAAACCCAGCACAAAAACAGACAAATACGTCGATTAGAATTGGACGAAATGAGAATGAATCACACTCACAGAAGCTGGCAAGGATCAGGCAAGAGTTTATTGAATACTCCTCGACTTTGTCTAACACTGGATCATACTTTGCTAGTATTACGATGCATGCACCACAACCCCTGCGCCAAAAAATCTAACCGAGTCAGCGAGAGAAACACACACACACATTCAGAGAGGAACAAGTAGACATCGATTTTATATTTAGTCTAATCGTTTACGGTTTCTATTACCATCTTCATAGAGAATACTTTATTGAGGATACACTGAAAAACTGCAAAAGTGTAGACAAGAGGATGTGATATCCACATGTTCATGTTTGCTTGGACACTAAATCATTTGGAGCTCTTTCATACCATAGTTACCAGGTTTGAAGAACACAGACAAGCGGAAATCAATGTTCTTTAAGGCAGAATTCACCTTTTTGTTAGCGAACAAGAAATAATCCGGTTTCAAAACTCGGTGCATAAGTCCATTGGAGTAACCCACATCACGACCTCGGCGTCTCGGTGATGGTTCTCGCGACGGCTGCAGCCGCACGCTCCGTGTAATGTCCTCTCACAACAATCCTATCGAAAAGCTCGCCGTCCTCGCAGAGCTCCGTCACTAGATGCACGTTCTCTAATTCTTACAAGATTCCTGCAAAGAATACCCAGATTCAGATACCAATAGTCATTTCTCTAATTCCTTTTAGCCACAGCTTTGAAGATTTCCCCAATTTTGAAAAAAAAAGATTGAGAAATTGGGTTCTTTGTTGATGTTTTGAGTACGAGGCTGAAAAGCACGCGTAAAAGCTGGCTAAAAGGTAATGTGCCTAAAAACTAATTTTTTTTTAATTAATTTTATTAACAAAAATCTGAGAAATTATACCCTTATTTTTATATCATATATATTATAAACAAAGTAAAATTTTGAGTTAAAGCTCTCTCATTTAATTTTAGAATGGCTAATTACCATTTACCCCTTCTTATATTTTATAAAATTAAATTTAATAAAAAAGTTATTAAAAATCATAAATTAATTAAAAATTATTAAAAATCGTAAATTAAACAAAATATTAAAAATAAATTAATAAAAAATTGTTAAAAATCGAAATTTAATCAAAAAATATTTAAATTTAATAAAAAATATTAAAAATCGAAATTTAATCAAAAAATATTAAAATAGAAAATAACGAATCATATATCATATATATTATAAGTAAAGTAAAATTTTGAGTTAAAGCTCTCTCATTCAATCTTAGAGTGGTTAGTTATTTTTTACCTCTTCTTATATTTTTTAAAATTAAATTTAATAATAAATTATTAAAATCGTAATTAATTAAAAAAATTATTAAAAATCATAAATAAATAAAATATTAATCATATATATTATAAGTAAAGTAAAATTTTGAGTTAAAGCTCTCTCATTCAATCTTAGGGTGGTTAATTACTTTTTACCCCTTCTTATATTTTTTAAAATTAAATTTAATAAAAAAGTATTAAAAATCGTAATTAATTAAAAATTATCAAAAATCAAAAATTAAATATTAAAAATCGTAAATTAATAAAAAATTGTTAAAAATCGAAATTTAATAAAAAACATTTAAATTTAATAAAAAATATTAA